ATACCTCGGACACCATTCACACCATCCTCGCTGAGGTGCAGGGGAGGGGTCGCTCCCCTCCCCTTTGTCATGGCGGGGTTCAATGGAGGGGACCGTTCCCCTGGGGATCCAACTCCCCTCCCCTCCCCAGCGGGGACGTACGTGCATACGGGCCCATATTTCGCTTCAGATTGGACGAATTCTAAATCTAAAGCCACCATTCAATTCAGCTCGGCGCGAAGAATTTTCTGATTTATTGGAAGTGGGGATACGATAGGCATACGGTAGAAAGTCATTTTACACGGGTGCGTCTGAAACTCTGCATAGAGGGCTTATTCGATGTGCTTATTACGAAAATAAAATGTATTTGTTGCAGTGATGGTACATTGCAGAAGTATACGGTGAGAGTCGATTTGCACATGTATATGTTCGAAAATTTGCTCAGTGGGGCAATCAAATGCGCTGATTATAACAAACTGACCCATTCGGCAAAGTACGGTAGGCGTATGACAGTCTGCCACTTTTAACGAATCTTTCCAAATTTCTGCCTGGGTTGGGTTGCACAGTGCGCTGATTACATGCATTCGCATGTTCGCTAAATTAAAAAATTCCAGACAAATCCTACAAGATAACCTTCTTAGTATACCTACCCTATTTCTGCCTATGTCAGTGTGTGTAATCAGCGCACTGTGCAACCTAACCCAGGCAGAAATTTGAAAAAATTCGTTTAAAGTGGCGGACTGCCATACACCTACCGTACTCGCCTTCGTTGCCGTATCGTTCAATTTATTATAGTCAGCGCATTTGATCGCCCCACTGAGCAAATTTTTAAACGTATACATGTGCAAATCGACTCTCATCGTACCCTTACCGTAACTCTACAATGTACCATCACTGCAACAAATACATATTATTTTCGTAATGAGCACATCGAATAAGCCCTCTATGTAGAGTTTCAGACGTATCAGTGTAAAATGACTTTCTACCGTATGCCTATCGTACCCCCACTTCCAATAAATCAGAAAATTCTCGGCACCGGGTTGAATCGAGTGGCTTTGGATTCAGAATTCGTCCACTCTGAAGCGAGATATGGCCACGCGACGGTGATGTACATACATTAGGCGACCGTCGCATCACTCATGCGACCATCGTGTAAGTCCGCCTACATTCACGTCTATTTTAAAAAAAAGGGGGGCGGTATTGTAATGGCTCAGCGCAGGTTTATGAAAGGAGACACTTGCAAAAAGTGCTTATAGAATTAATACTTCAGGCAAGTAGAGCAGAATCACAAGGCACGTAGAGGTTCAAAAAGGGGGTGCGGTTAATGTAGATGATACAACGTTGTAGATAGAAACAGTTTTGTTCTAAGAAATTGCTAACTCCTTCTCAACTTGAAGAGGAAGTGAAACTGGAATATCAACTTTGCTGCGAATAAGGTAGTCAAATATAGTCTGTGTCAACGACGTGCTTCTTTCCAGATCAGCTCAAGCAAACGCTAGAGCTCCCTGCCGCGTTTGCGGCGTACTCATGAGCGTCCGTGACGCATCGATCGCAGACCGCTGCGCGACCACGCGCTACGGATGCGTAGCTGCTACGGAAAAGGGAGCACGTTGTTGACACAGACTGTAAATGATCTGGTGTGCAGAAAAGTACTTCTGAAACAATGATGGAATCGTCGCTGCAAGATTATGTGCAACTTATTGGAAACCTCATCTTTGATCAAAAGTGCGACTTTCGAGACTGTTTACTCCTAAGGGCCGCATGCACTAACATCCCAGCGGGGAGGGGATCGCAGCTCAAAAGAAATTTCATATCGTGAAGCTCCGATATCTGGATTTTACGTTGTGTACGTAACCGTAAGTATTCCTACTATCCTTCACTATGAACACATTGAACAGCAGCGAGAAGCTGTACAAGCCGCAGTTTTCAGCATTTGTATGATCCCTGATGATCCCCGGCGCTTTTCTTTGAAGTCATTTTTCTTTCTCCAAAGTCAACGAAAAGTTTTCAAAGTTGTGCAGATTATCTAACTCAACACTGCTTAGCATGTTTTTGATAAAAACAAATGATGTATCGGAGTCATGGAATTTGCGATGTCGAAAGTTGTGATTTATCGAAAAATTCGAGTTTCCAAAAACTCATTTGTTCTCATCAGTAATATGCTTAGCACTGTTGTGTTAGATAATTGGTACAACTTTGGAAGGTTTTCGTTAACTTCAATAAAAGAAAAATGATTTTGAAGAAAGGCGCCGGGGATCGTCAGGGATCATACAAAAGCTGGAAAATGCGGCTTGTACGGCTTCTCTCTCCTGTTCAATATGTTCATAGTGAAGGATAGCGGGAATATTTGCGGACAGGTAGACAGCGTGAAATCTAGATATCTGGAGCTTTAAAATATGAAGCTTTCTTCTGAGCTGCGATCCCCTCCCCAGCGGGGTCGTTAGTGCATGCGGCCCTAATGTAAGTGGCATTCCGTGTTGGAATGAGGGAAGGGGTGAGGAGGGGGGGGGGGGTAGGGAGGGAGTAAAGTGAACGAACATCCGTACGCATAAATCATCCTCCGCTTTATTATATAGAGATAATGTAGAGATAATATACCTTTAATGGCGGTCCCAGGATTTCGGACCGGGAGGGGGGCGTCAAAAAATTTTTTTGATGAAGGTGCGTGGTATTAGCCACCACTCCGAAAATTTTTTTGGGGTGCTTTTCAAAATCTTTGCGGTTCTCCAAGCATGCCCACGAGAATTTTTTACAAGGCTAATTTGAATTTTTAATTTTTGAAAATTATTCTAAATTATTTACAAAAACAAACAAATCGGTTGCGCGTCTTTATAACTCATATAAATAATTTTCAGAAATTTCGCGACCCATTCTCGGGAGGGCCTCCCCCCCATTCCCCCCGCCCTCTCCCTCGGTCCTCCACTGGTAACCTCCTACTAATTGGTAGTCAGGTTACAAGTACTGTGCTCTTTGAGCGCCTTGAGTATATTGTGGATTTAGCTTTAGTTTACTGATGTCGGAGGCATGTTCTGGCTGCGGCAAGAAAAGAACCGAAACCGTTGGTATGAATATGGTATGGTATCTCCAGAGTGAAGCCGCAAGGAGCAGTTCGCTATTTATATTAGTTTCTTTCATGAAACCTGATTTAGCCGATTAGTTTCAAGATTTCTTTAGCATCAAGCGGCAGTTCAGATAATGTACGTGTACTCTCGCCATTCCTGTAAGCTATTTTCAAGCGATGAAGCCCACAGATTGAAAATACAAGCAATGATACTTATAATGACTTTCAAATAGACGTACAAAGTGGCATAGTGAACAACAAAGTAAGACAGCTGCTAATGTTGAACAAATTTGTACAAAAACAATGCCACATCTTCCAGCTGCCTCGATAAATGGATGTGCAGTGCGCTGAGAAGGATTCAGCAAAACACATTCGAACTAGCTTTGCAAATAATAGAGTTGCCGCTGTTCTATTTTCAAAAAAAACTATATAATGTATTACGCGGAGGCTTCTCTCGCAAACGGATCTCTGCGTAATCATAAATCCACATAATTTGAATTTGTCCTCAAATTTGTCTCATCATTTTTAGATTTAAAGCTACTGCATACTGCTTAATAACTGTTTTTGAAATATGTTTCAATTTTATACTTCTAGCGTGTTGGTGTGTGAGTTCAGATCATAGGTCAAAAATCATATCTCAATAGGCCAGAAAGCAGCCATGATTGTGACACGCATTCAACAGAGTTGCAAAATATTTTGCATTTGTTATTGAGCACTAGACGGCGTCCCGGTTCCGCCCGGGAATTGGGCTACTTGATCGCAAACGCGTTGAGACTTACCGCTCTTCTCCATATCTGTGAAGAAGCTGTGATATGTCCTTATGTCTTCCTTGCTGACTTGAGATACCAGATCCTATTCGCCAAGAAATGTGAATGAACTTTACCGCCCGAAATACATGACTGTGAGGAAATGATCCAACGATGGTTGGCAAACCCTCTATGTAAGTAAACAAGTCAAGAAATCGATTGAAGGGGCCAACAAATCGTTCGCAAAAAATGCCTATCTTGTGCGCCGTGCCTTACTTATAGGGAGAGAAATTTTATCATCGGTACACACAAAAGAGTCTATAAGCCACATACTTACTAACGAACAAATCCACAGAGTTTCGGTTTTATTTATATATAGATAATTCACAGACAAATCAGAACGACAAACGACATTTTTCATCAGTTCTGATTAAGTGCATACACAAAGTTGTTGCTTCATCTGCTGACATCTCATAAATGTGTTTACAGCACCACACACCTGCACTCAGTTTGGATGTGCAAGAGTTACAGAATCAACTAACTTTTATCTCCATTCCAGTAGTTTCGCAGACAAGAATAAACAGAATTTTGGATAAACTTCTTATTGAGACGTCTTACAAGGGAAGGATATTTGGTGACGTGGCCATTCGTAATGACTTGTATATCAAAAAAATGCGCCTTTCAATGCTGTTCGAATACTATCTTTCATATCTGCGAAACCATAACCTGGATGGAGTTATGATAAATTTTTCCATGAAAAAATTGAGCTACTGCGAAGGTCAAGATCATCAATAATAAATTTTCTTTCTTTCTCAGATGCTGAATATGATTTAGACAGGAATAATACAATATCAATGCTTTTGAATTTCTCTTCAATAGTTTCGAACGGTAACCTAGAACAAATTTGGTGATTTCAACTACACAAAAGTACGCAAAATTTCTGCGAAAAAAATTTATGATTTTCTCCAGAAGATCGTTTCGCAGATACCGCGCGCAATTTGGAATCAGCGTTTTAAGATGCATCTTACATATACATCGCATCCCAAATAACCGCGGTGCCGAGTATCCTTTCCTTGTTAGCTTCACTACTGAAAGCTAAAGCTCTTGTTTCAAAGCGCAAATCGGAGTTTAGACGTATACAAAATCAAAATTATAACGCTAAAATCAGTATGCAACAATAAGTACGAATGCGCTTAGTATAGCAAAGTTCAACCTCACACACAATAACCACATGTAAAAGGACACTGCTGCCGCATAAGTGATGAGTACAGTGGGTTTCTGCACAGCTGAGCTCTGTTGGGGCAATCCGAAACGCCAGTGACCTTATTGATCATATCCCGGCATACTGAAAAGAAGTCAAAAGTGAATAGTATCTTGTATCTTGACAGCTTCTTGGAAAAATTAAGATAAAAAAAAATGTGCAAACTTTATAATTTTCTGTATTCTATAACCAAGACAATGCAGTGTTTTTGGAGTTACTCAATATGTTGCGCTCAAAACTTCACTTTGATTAATTATCAGTAAGATATCATGCAAGATGCTTAAGCGAATGAATCTGAGATACACAGCATCAACCTTATCCAATACTACTTTTTTTGTGAAGTAAAAAAATGCAAAGTTGCAAGGTTACCTAGTGAAGGTGCTGAAGGAGGACATTTTCCACAGGTTTTTGGACATTGGCTCTCCATGAGTTGTTTGTAAAGTGGGTTTTTGCACAAGTGTGCACGTGACGGGCAATCTGATACCCCCGTCGTTGGATTTACTAGGTCTACGCAGTCTAAATTACACTTCGGTAGATAAATCACAGTGCTCTTTGACTTACTGTTTGAGGAAGGTTGGTTGATGCCTGTGTTTTGACCGTTGCCTGAATTAGGCTGCTGTCCGCCGTTTCCAGGAGGCCCATTACCACCTTGAGGATTGCCAGCATTGCTTCCAGGACCTGCAGCGTTGCCTCCAGGCCCGTTTTTGTCGCCGGATGTTGGAGCTTTGTTATTTTTGTTGTTTTGTTTTTGATCGCCGCTTGAAGAAGGCTTCTCGTCTTCTTCGTCGTCGTCGATCTCATCGCTCAAATTTGGCTCCTCCGGCTTGGGAGTGGTCTCATCGCATTTGTTGCAAGTTCTTCGACAATATTCGATTACGGTGACTGAGAACATTTCCACTTCACAGAGAAACTTCAATGCCACACATCCGCCCGTCTTCAGTGTGAGTGGATGCATCGGCGTTAATTTGTCCTTACAGTCTAAAACAGATTTTAGTTGTTTGCACGAGGCGTAGATAACCTGATATAATCTTCCGAGCGCAAAGGAGTTCAGAAGTTCTACCTTATTTTCAGATGTATAAGCCGCAGGGGATCTTTCTCTAAAATCGACCAGCCCAAACAGGCCAGAAAACTTCGAGACCAAAGGACCCTATACCGTACTACGTGTTGCTGGAGAGAATCGCACGCGTAAGAGTCGCTTTTCGAAACATAGTGAAGCAACTGAGCGGCTCTCTTGAAAAGCTGAAAAAGTGCGGCTAATACATCTAAAAATAGGGTAATTTGATGAGCATAAAATGCTTGAAAAACTTGATATTGCAATTTCTGATAGCAATCTTTGTACCTAATTTCTCTTTCTCTCTTTCTTTCTTTTTTTCTCTCTCTCTCTCTTTGCACTGTTCTTAACCCTAGCCAGTTACCAACCAAATTCTGCAATTTCTAAATAAACGACAGAGTTGGGTCTTTCTTCGTCACAATCAAGCTTATGTGTTATCAGAGTTTTATATAAACCTTTCATGGATATCTATATATGTTTCGGCAGCTTATAACAGTTTTTAAGGCAATTTTCTGATAATCATAAATTTGTTTCGTCTTTGCTTTGAAGCTTGGTCATTTTCAGGTAACCTGTGCACATTTACAAGTTTATTCTGAGTAGTTGTAATTTTGAAATCTGAATCTCGCAAAGTTTCGGATGTCGGGTGCAGCTCGATATGCTCTTAGTGTTGAAAAGGAGTTTTCATTGTTATGTATTACCATAAATGGTTGAAAGACACTGAATTGAAGTCACTTAAATTAATTATCTGCTTTTAAAAATCCATTGAAAAGTATGGGTTGAAACATAGGTGTCAAAAGAGGAAAAAATTGGCATTGCAACCAAGCTCTTGTGAGATGTGGTGCTTAGTAAAAAAAAGGAAAAGCGCCGAAGCGACACCCAACATAAAACTTTTGAAGGAGCATAATGCTACAGGTCACTGCGAAAGATTTTATTTTTTGAAAAAGTCTAAATGGACACTACATCCCGTGGAAAAACAGCTAGAAGAATCTACCGATCATCGTTATGCTAGATTTCGAAAATGTAGATTTCACGGAAGAGTTCAATATTTAACGATCGTTCATCAATGAGTTAGTTGTGAAATAGAAAAGAAGTTTTTTAGCGTAAATGTTTCAAGTTGTTTCACATGAAATTTTGTTAGCGATACTTTACCATTGACGGCAGTATATGTTTGTGACCTACGCTTTTTGATTCGGAAAAGTCTGCGCTAACTTAGCATCTCTAGGAAGACTTGAGATATTGAAAAACAATAGAATACAACGGAAAATGCTGTCGTTTTCTCAATGTCCATTTCAAAGTGTATATACAATGTTTATGCAGCCATAAACAAATCCCGCAAAGCGAGGAAACTAAGGATTTGAAATGAGGGAAGGAAAAGTTTTCATCTAACTTGACAATAGAAAACCGAAAAGTGCTTGGCGTATTCCCGAGTTTGTTCCCTGGACTCCTTCCTTATTATAGTTTGTATCAATCGGGATCAGCTCTTGCCGGTGGCGCAAACTCGCGCGCTCGCAGCGCTAAGGGTCTGCATATGCGCACTATCGGAGAAATCGAAGAGATTTGAGAGGGAGCAGGAAGCTAGCCTAGGCATGAAGCAGAACGCGACGCGAACTTCCGCCGTGACTAATTTTGCTGGCTGGGATTAGGACTGTTTGATATAAGCACTCAAAATATTAGGTTGGTTCATAATTAATGCACGTTTTCTCAACTTCCACTTCTAATGAAGATAATTCCTTTCCGAAACAATCTTTCTGCTTGCATCAAAACTGTTGTAAACAGCAAACTTTGAGCTATACAATATATACATTCATGTGATTGTACTCACCACGGGAGAGATTTTCCGCCGCAAAAATTTGCCGAGATTTTTTTCTGGAAAGCTCTAGTTTGGAATAGCATACTTACTCTCAAAAGAACCAGAATGGAGGAAACTATGCTCATTGTGTAGCCGATGGTCGATTCAATAGTAGCGTGGAATTTGGCTTTCACCAAAAATTTTCAGCGAAAAAAATATCGCCAAGAAACAAAAGTATCATTTTCTCCTGCATTTTAGAGAGGGCAAAAAAACTGTATTTTTTAAATTCCAATTTTTTCTCAACTAAAAACGAGGAGATTTTGCCGTTGTCCTATTATTGGTAGTCCTTGGTCTACTCTACTAGAACCAAGAGAACGTTCTATAATCGCTTCTCACATAAGCATTTTATAGAACTCCGAGTGATCCCAGCATTCAGCTAAGTGGATCAAAGCTTCTCGGCTAAGGACATTTAAAAATTCAGCCTTAACGAGCATTTTGTAGCACAAATCTTCGCGATTATAACACTTATTTTTTGAAACAAATGTGAGCATTTTTCATGGATTTAGGGCAAGTCGAATGAAAGGAAAGAATCTTGAGTTTGAGATTCTCACCCTTAAAGATACGGTCTGAACAAAGATCTGAAAACAGAAGTGCACATCAGAAAATGAAAGAAACGAGCTTTCCGATAGTTCAGATGGTTTTAGAGAAAGACGATTTTTGATTGAAAACTAGCGTTTGAAAGAAGAGGTAGGAAAAACGTGCATTAATTATGAACCAACCTAATATTATCGAGGCAGAACATAAAAGTTTAAACTGAACCATATTTTAAACTACACTTAAAATCAATTAAAAAGGGCTTAGTTCGTGTAAATGTAACAGTTTGCTTCGAGTATTATGCGTATGTATGCACATGTCTATTGAATATCTTCAAACTTTTCAAAAGCGGCGTCTCACCAGAATTTGGCTGACGAGATTTTGCACATTGCAAGCCTTTTCGTCCTTAACCCAGTGCGGGTCCAAAATCGCATAAAATGTAAGGAAACCCGTTTTTTGAAAGCCCCGTGGAAGCAGCGCGAACGAGTTGTGCCTTCTCAGCTCCTTCCCTACAGTGGCACAGTGGCAGCAACACCAAGGAGTTGGACGCCGTGTGGAGAGTCATGTTAAACGCTTAAGGGTGAAAACAGTGGCCGTATTCATCAACGAAACCCGTGGGTTCCGGAACCCACTGGGTTACTGCTTTTGATGAATATCGATTCTACTCCAGGGAAGAATCGATATTCATCAAAAGCACTAACTCAGTGGGTTCCGGAACCCACGGGTTTCGTTGATGAATACGGCCACAGGAGCATCGGCCGTGCGAGCCAAATCGGGCTTTGCGGGCCAATTTGAGGGCAAATTTCTCACATGGAAAGCGTGTTTACTTAAAGTGGCCTTTCCACATGTCACCTATTTCACTTTGTAGATATTGAATGGTTACCTTATGTCGTCTCTTACCTGCCAAGCCCCTCTGAAAGCTGAGTTATAAGCGTTTTTATGTCAAAAAAATTGGATGCGCAAATGAGACAAAATCGCCCAAAATTGCTCAAATAGTCAGGTGATAAATTACGTGCAACTGCTGAGCCTTATACAGCCAAGATTTCTAATTTTCTTCATTAGACGTACGTTTCGGCTTTTCCCCCCACAATGGTAGGCCGCCTCATCGAGGCGTGCGGGTGACACTGGGTGTCGAACTGCGATGCACAGCCGAGCGCATACTCTGGCAGGGTCTCCCAAGCTGTGAAGGAGTTCGACGTTCCCGGTCTCGGCCGGATGCCTAGCTAAGAATCGGCCAGGCCAGATCCACCGCCGTCTGGTTTTCAAGTCGCTAGGCGGTTCTCCCCGCTAAAAGCCCGGGGTCAGCGATCGCCCGTGGAAATCAAGAGTTGGCCTAGTAAGTCTGCCCTTGTAGGGGAAAAATTTCATTACTCTACCAGTTAGAAGAATAGAAAGAAACCTTGCACATCGGATCCCGCTTACGGCGCCGGGTGGTAGCAAGACTGATGTCAGGGTCCTCAGGGCGCCTTTTGGATTGGACAAAAACGACACGTCTGCCCGGAAGACACGCCACGGAGACTGCCTCGTGCTCTGCACCTACAACGCCAGGACAGTCTCCACAAACGCCGACCTCCACGCTCTTCTCGACGCTGCAGAGCACATCAAGCACCACATCATCGCTCTGCAGGAAACGAAGTCCAAGAAGAAGGATGTGCGACAGATAAATGATGGAACGCTCATCATTCGTGGTGAGAAGGTTCCATCACGAAACGTGGGATGCGTTCTTTGTCGTCCACCCATCTATCGTCCATCTTGTCGATTTGCACGAGATCCTATCATCCCGACTAGGAATCCTACGACTACGCCCTCCACGTCAGAAGACCATCAGCATCATCAACTGCTACTCTCCAACATCAGCAGCTGACGACTTAGAACTAGATGCTTTCTACGAAGACGTGGAGGAGGTCGTCTGCAACGAAAAGTACTCCTACAAGTATGTTGTGGGCAACTTCAATGCGAAAATCTGATGCCACTAGAAAAGGAATATAGGATCGGGAAGTTTGGATATGGGCTCCGGAACGAAAACGGCAACCGTCTCGTTGGGCCTCTCTCCGCCGCACGACTTTTCCATGGAAATTCCATCTTCATGAAGAAAGAACATCGCCGGTGGACAATGGGAATTGTCCAACGGAACGACTCATGCGGAGATCGACCACATTCTCACCAACCAAAGTGGAGCTTGCACGATGTCTCAGTAGTTCCATCCTTCTGCAGTGGCTCCGACCACCGCCTCCTTCGAGGAAGATACGACTCCGCCGAAGGCTGGAAAAGAAAGCCTGTCACAGTGCCGCGAGAAGGACGAATGTAACCATCTCGAGCGACTGATAGCCAACGCCAGTTGCAGAACAGCTTTGCAGGAGGATCTCAGGAAGTACAGGCAAGCCAAGATACTGGAAGCAGCCGAAGGAAAACGAAGTGTCAAGAAATGCCGAAGGGACCTCTGTGAATATCACGTACCGCTGGCTGCACTATTGAACGAAGACGGGACCCCGACTTCTTCCCGGTACGAGATGGAATCTAT